AGGATGTGTTCGGTCTCGACTCGCCCCATCCTCAGAGGGGTCGCGCCTGCCGTTTCCGTCGGGCAGTGGTCGCTGCCATTATGAACCTTTTCCTGTTTTTCTGGAGTAAGTCGTCGGTGTTCGTAATCAGCTTCTCCCCTTGCTAGCTGTAGAGATGAACCTCTGCACGCACACACGTTCTGCCAGCTGTATGAAATTACTAACAGAGGTGAAATAAATCTGCTGATGAGTTAATTTCTAATTAACCTTTGTTCTGGCAGCAGAGGGAGACCTGTAGACCTGCTCTTGTGCTGTGAGTGCCTAACACTTACTTTAAATCAGCAAGCTGATTAGCTATCTGGTTATTCCTCAAGTACTCATTACTGCGGTCTGCAAAATAACTATGTTAACCTACCTAAAAGATTCGGTTTTTCTTTCTTTTTTTGCACTAAGCTGCAAACTCTTCCAGCCTCTTTAATAATGACTTGTAGCATTTCAGTGTTAGAGGTTTTATTGGAACAGTCTGCCATGCCCCAGCTGCGACAGAGGTCTTACTGAGCGAGGTGATAACGAGAGATGAGTGTTGACTAGAAGAGTTTATAATCTAGCCAGACAAGGTGGGGGTGAAAGGGGGTAGTTATGTTTATTGTAGAGACTGAGATACTAAAGTTAGCTCATGTCATAACGGGGGTATTTGTCAGTGCTAAACCTTCAATATAGATCTCCTGAATTCCGGGCTGGCGCTGGAGCCCCGGGCTTTATTTCCTTATCAAGCAGCTATCTTCAGAGCAGTGGAGCTTGACAGTCTTCCTAAGTGATTATTGTGGGGGAGGCCTCTAGCAAAGAGATAGCTCTGGGACTTGGAGAATTGAAGCCCTGTGGTTGTGCTGAGGTTTCTGGTGTGGGGGAAAAAGAACTCCGTGATGAGGCCTTCCGACTCCCCCTTCCCACGTGCATGCGTGCTCTTCTGCTGCAGGTCTTGTCAGTACCAAGGCTTTCGTGGGGCGCAGCTGCACTGGTGAACAAAATGAATTGCTTGGATTCAGTGCCAAGCAGCCTGGGGTAGCAGGGAATAAAAGCTGCCTCTGGGGAGAGTCAGTGTCAGAAATAAAACTGCTAGCATCCAGCAAGGACACGTCTGTCAGTTATTGAATTCCGTTTGTTTTTATTCTTCTAGGTCTGATAACTCTTTGGGGGATCCTGATCTTCCTTAGATATCGCTGGCGGAAGATGGAGGAAGAGGAACAAGCCATGTATGAAATGGTGAAGAAGATCATAGGTAGAATCCAGTAGCTGTGTAAATGCAAGTAGCCCTGTTGTTCTCTTTGCGATGTTGAGGTCTCTCACTGTTTTATCCTCCCGCCCTCCAGCTGTTGTCCAGGACCACTATAAGGAATGGGAACGGAATTTGGAACGTTACCCCTACGTCGGCATTTTCCACGTTCGGGACAGCCTCATCCCTCCACAAAGCAGGTGAGCTGAATCTTACTCATTAAGGAGGGCTGTCAGCATGGTGTTATTCAGCTCGGCTAAAAACCGCAGTTGCGGGGCAATGGAGCATGAGCAGACGATTGATGGGAAGCTGGACTGCAAGAAGAGTCTGTCTGGCCTTTCAGTTTATAAAGGATTTTGACATAATTCAGGCTATGTCTTAACCTGCTGCAGATTAATGTGACAGTCCTGGGGCTGATATTTTCTGCGGTCACGCAGGCGTATTGTCATTGTTCTATCAAACAGTAATTGGATTTTGTTTTGCTTGGACATGGAGCATCTGATTTTCTCTCCTTCATCTAATCTGTGTGGGATGCTATCCTCTTTCTCAGCCGTCGTACCTTATTCTCCAGACAGCTGCTGTGCTTTTCAGAACAAACCTTCCCACGAGTTGAATAGGGTATTGGGCTCTTCTGAAGTGGTTGTGTATGTTGCTGCCTGGAAAGTTACCGGTTTGAGTTGGGCAGCTTTGAAAGGGAGATATAGTGAGATGGCTGGTCTTGATGCTTTTTCAAAAAGGAACTGTGGTTGAGATAGTTGCTCTGTGGGTGGTGAGGCCGAGGGCTGCAGCCTGGTTCTCGGTGGTTTATGTGCCACTTGCTCCATCTCTGCAGGAATGTTTCTTGTGTTTTGGTTAAATGGAGCTACTTTGTTCTCCTAGCAGCACAGAACGCTACGTGTGCTCCAAAGTCTTAAACACGCTCACCGTTTATCAGTCATGATACCAACAGTAGGTAAAAGGAGTTTTTTCAGCTGTTTTGAACCAGTCTCTGTGTGTGGTGCCCAGAATGACTAGACGCTGATTCAAAACGGGTGAACTTCAGTTCGTCCTCCCTGGTCTGAGATCTGTCTGCATGCAGGAAGGGTGAGGGCAATTTGCTAATCGAGTCCCTTCACAATATGCATTGAGCTTGGAATCCAGAGCAGTCATCAGTTACTGGTACTGACAGAGGGTCTCGTCTTCCCACCCCAGGCAGGACCAGTGTTTCATGTCCTGGCCTGAAGTCGCTTCTAAACCAGAATTCTGGTTTAATCTCCTGTACTGTCTGCACAGGGAACAGGAGGCAGCTAGCAGTAGCTTGAATAGCAGCCACGATTGCTGCAAGCAGGAAGGCGCAATGAGGATATGATTCTAATTTGTTTTCTTTTTGTGGCTGTTTCTTGCAGAAAAAAAATGAAGCGGGTCTGGGAGAGAGCTGTGGACTTTCTGGCTTCAAATGAGTCACGGATTCAGACGGAGTCGCACAGAGTAGCAGGAGAAGACATGCTTGTGTGGAGATGGACTCAGCCTTCTTATGTCTCGGACTCGGAGCACTGAAGAGGAGCAGAAGTTGAGCAACTGTTGATAAGGACCTCTGCAAGGGGACAGTCCCCTCTCTGGTGGTGGGAAAGAGCAGGTCACGGTCCTAACCTCCTAGGGTTGGGGATTGCACGTATCTGTTTGCTCTTCTTTCTGAAAATCTTCACACACAAAAATTCAGGGCAATAATGTTGGCTTGGAAAGAAGATGCGCTTGAGCTGGTGGGAAGCTAGAATTGCACCAAAGTTAGCCTTCCAGCAGATATCTGGCTTCTGTAGGCAAGCAAACCTAGAACAACTTTTTAAAAAGAAAAAAAAAATGCATACCTAATATCGAGGGACTTAGGATCTCTCGGACAAAGGTTAAGTGTTTAAAATTTGACCTCAATTCTGCAAAGGCCGACTGGTGGTAACGTCCATCAGGGAATGTGTTCAAAGAAGATTAACATTTCCCATGGAAACATTAGGGTGGCAGTTAAGATGCATTTTGTTAAAATTTGTTTTTATCAGTACAAAGACAGTGATGAAAGCACTTGCTGCTTCCTAACGAGGAAAATGTTTGTGTCAGCTTCACCCTTTAAAAATGGGGGAGAGGGGGAAAAGTCAGGTGAAGGCAGTCCTAGAGGGAGGGCAGTCTGACGTGCCTTGGTGGTTTGGGCTGGGTTGGGTGGGGTGGAGGAGTGGTTGTAACCCTGCTATACTTTTTACGTTTGCAGTCTGTGTGCTTTATGGTTTCTGGGGGGTGGGGGGAATTCGGGTGGAAAATAAAGGATATAGGAAGCGTCCAAAAGCGCTTTCTCATGGCTACAGCCAAAGGGACTGCTTCGTGGGCTATTAAAGAGCAGCTTCGGAAAGGCTATTAGGGCTGAATGTGCGTGTTTATCCTGGGCAGCTGCAATGTGCGTGCTGTGTGTCAGAGCAGAGGCGTACCGTGCGTGGGGTGTCAGTGCAGGGATTGCCAAGTCGATGCTCCTGCAGCCTCACAACAGGTACCGGGAGCAGCGATCAATCCTCTGTTCGTGCTGCAGGCATGGTATTTTGTATCTATAATCATTTGGTTACTTACGTTTCTTTTTATGTCCAGCAAATGAGTGTTTGTTTCAAAGAAAATAGCACCAGTGTGTGGCAGTTTAGGCTAGGCAGAGATACTGCTAATCTGCTCTTCCCAAAATTGTGAAACAGCTGTCCAGCTCACCACTAAGGCAGCAGGGACCAAATTCGTTTCTGGCACAAGCTAGCAAAGCCTGCAGAGAGAAGCCAGCGTTGATTTGAACCCGTGCAACCAGTGGATGTTGTTCTCCGTAGCATCGCGGGTACAGCGTGAATGCTTGCATTCATCGCTGGCGCTGGGTGCTCGGCGAGCTTCCTCGCCAGGCTCTGGGCTGGCTGAGGCCGGCCCTCGAAGCCCTGCTCCCCGCTTTGCAGGCTGGCGGTGCCGCGTACCCGGTGGGTTCCTTGTGCCAGTCCCTGCTCACCTCCCGGTATGAAGCCTGCGCTTCTCCACCCCGCTGCTGGCTCTGGCGGGGCTTTGGCAGCCCCGAGGCTGCTGCAGGCGGCCTGCAGGGACTCCTTCCGTGCCTCCTGCTCGTGGTCATCGACCACAGTGAGTGGAGAGAGCAGATTTCTCCAGGAACAAAACACGGGGAGGTCTTTCCCATTAAATGGGAAATATCCTGCGTGGAGTTGGCTCTTACCCCATATTTTCTTTTTGGTTGCCAAGGTAGGGTGTTTGAACAGACGGGGGGACTCAACAGCTGTCTTCAAGACAGTGACCGGCTTCTTCCACTGTTAATAAAGTAGGGGATAAAGGGAAGGCAGCTTTGATTCTTCTAAAATGTTGTAACAAGATCATCACTGCTGCCGTAGAAATTTTTACAAACACCGGTGCCTACGTTCTTAAGCCTTTTAAAAATATTTATGGGGTTTGGGTTAGCTTTTTTTAACCGTCCAAATCCAGAAGCGAAGAGTCAGGCATTGCAGTCATCTTTTTGTATTAAACTTGGTTTTGTAGAATAAATTTCACTGGCTTGGTGCTGTTTATTATATGTTCAGTTTAGCTCTGTAAATCAATATATAAAATAAATTTATTACAAATAATGTGTTACCTTTACTTTTATTGAGGGGTCACGGATTGTTCCAAGTGCTTTTGCTCAGGCAGATCAAATATATCCTGCTCCGGGGAGCTCCCGGTTTCTAAGAATAAGACTGAAGATGGCACGGGGATTGCATGACAGCCTAACGAGACAACATGGATCCTTGTGACACTCGGTGATCGCGGCGCAATTGCCGGCAGTCTCAAGTGTTTGGTTGCAAATTAAATCTCTGTTTTGGGAATAGTTGGCATTAAGCAGAGGTGTGTATGAAAAGCAGTTAGCTTGTTTAGCTGCATTTCGAAGAGATTGACAGCTTGGAGGGTTGTGAAGCTGTAAATATTAGTTTAGCAGGTTGATCAGTATTCCTGCGGCCCATGGTAAAGCGGTTATTTAAAGCAGGGAACGGGATGGTGCAACAAGTCTGGGAACGGAGCGAGGGTGCCTCAGGCTCCGCCTGTTTTGCCCTTGTGCTCCGAAAGGCAGATCCCTCGCGCGCTGGGTGTCCGAAGTCAACGGCCGCTGCAGAAAGTCTTGACTCTGGTCCCAGCTGCTGGTGCTGTGTGTGGTGGCATCCTCGGGCCGCGGTTCGCTCGCCTGTTACTCGGGCCGCGGTGTGAAGTGCCGGGTGATGGCACAGGGAGGCTGGGGAGTAATGAGGGTGCTGGGTGCAGTGCCGGGCTGGGCTGGGTGTCCCTTCCTGCCCTTGCTCCCAGGCTGTTGCTTGTCACTGGACACATCGCTTCCCCCCTTATGTCCCAAGGGTTGATAGGCTTTAAGTAAGGCTGTTAGAAAGCGCTGTAAGAGGGGGGATATTTGTGTCAAGGAAAAAGGCAAAAAGTCAAGTCTTGGACTATTTACCAGATCCCCAAGGTTTCCCAGGTTGCCTGGTGAGTGGAAGACACACAAGCACATCTTGATGGCCAGTCTGAGTCATCTTCAGGGTCCTTTTCCGTGAGTGTTTTCAATGCCTCTCTCACCTGAGTGTCAGTGACTCAGGACGTGCTGCCGCGAGTTTCGGCTTCTTCAAAGTCTCCCGAAAGGCAGGAGTAGTCCGTGAATCATCGCTGTGTAACTGCTGCGGACGTGGTTGACTCACTGGTGCTTGGTTAGAGACATGCTTAAGGCATCTCATCATGTAGGTCTGGGCGACAAAGAGGGAGATTTCCACCGGCACGGAAGGAGGTCGGCTCTGCGGCTGCCGTGGAAGTCGGTGGGAGCTGGGACCTCCTCTCTGGCGTTGAGCTGTTGCTAAGGTATGGGAACAAAAGGGAAGCAAGGCTAAATCTCTTCTCTGAACCCGCATCCCTGCTCAGATGCTTCTACCCAATCTAGGTTGCTAAGCTACAGCTGAAATATGTTCAAGGTTAGGAAATAGTCTTCAGTTTGGTGTAATTACATGTGCCGGAGGATGTTTGCTTTCAGTGAAGCTGCCATGATGTTTTCTGCGATAGTCTTCCCGTCGTGTCCCTTCTTTCATTTGCTATCTGGAGAGCGGAGCAGACTTGTGTTATGCCACGCTCACTGCCAAGCTCCTGCTTGCTCTGTACAAACTGTTGGTCATTTATGTGGTGCTAGCAGTTTTCCCAGAACCCCGGGTCCATTCAAAGAAGAGGGAACGGCTGGGTTCATCCCCAGCCCCGCTCTCCTTACAACTTGCGTTCGCTCAACCAGAGTTGCTAACGTCCCCCTCCCGCTTTCGTGCAAAGTATTAAGTTTCTATAAATAAATGCTCCAACGGTGGGCTGATAAAGCCATCGCATCCCCTTACTGTCAGGCAGGAAAATATGTACCAACAAGGAATCTAAAATAAAATTTGCCCTTTATCTTTTCATTTCCTGCTTCCATTTAAAGCTTTTCACATTAAATGTTTTGTCTCCTCCTGACATGACAGCTGATGCTGTGCCTTATTTATGGGGCGCAGAGGCAGGGCGCTCTGCCAGTTCTCCTGGAAAGATCAGCGTGAATCAGAGAAGAAAAAGCACGGCCAGCGCGTCCTGCCCGCAGGTGCCTCCCTCGGGCACGGCCCCTGTCTGAAGCAATCGCTCCCCAACGCCTCCCCCGGGATTTCACCCTGACTCCATTCGACCTTTAGAGAACGGCCTCCAGGTAGGTGTTGCAAAGGGTTTTGTGCAGTTAACGAACAGCCCCTCGCTACAGCGGAGCGCCAGGCGCGAGTCCTGCCCCCGCGCCCCTCGGGGGCTGCCAGCAGCTGCAGAGCAGAGGCCAGCGTGGGGCCAGACTCTGCGCTAACCTCACAGTAGCACGTTATTTTCGTAGGAACGCTTCGGTAAGGCTGGTGAGGTCTGATGCAAAGCCCACGGGTGTCTTTGAATGGCGCTCCAAGACAAGGAGACCCCCCGTGGGTTGATGAAACCTCGCTTGGCTTCGAGCTCATCTCGCCCAGGGGCAGAGCGTGGGCCCTGCGCTGCGGGAGCCCCCCGTGCTCCCCCTTCCCTGGGTCCTAGCAGAGCCGCGGCTCCGCAGGGACGTGGTCTTGGGTGGCAGGAGGACACCGGCGCCTCTGCTGACCTCCCCTCTGACCGAGGAGAATGCCTGCCCGGTCTCGCTTCGTAGCGACCTGCTGTAGCGCCAGGTTCACTGTTTACATCGCTGCTCCAAAACAGCTCCCAGCACCTAAACAGCAACAGCTGAGGAAAACACCCTGGGGTGGCGAGGAGCTGCTGGCCGGGAGCGGGGCTGGGCTCACGGCGTGCAGCTGAGGCACCTCCACATAAAACAGCCGAGAAACGGGGCCGGGGGGTTCCCTCTGCTCCCTCCAGGAGGGCAGCTCCTGCTTTGCTCCCAGCGGGGTCCCAAAGGTGCCGCCAGCAGCAGGGACACCTCGACAAGGGGTTACGTCTCTTTGCCAGCCGGCGGGTGAGGCTCCAGCGCCCGCCAGCAGCACGAAGAGCATTTCCATCCCGGGGCTGGCGCGGGGCAAGGGAGGGACCCAGCCTGGCTGCCCGGCCCGGGGCGGGGGGCTGTCCTGGCGTCACTGTGCCGTCACCGTGCCACGGCCACAGCTCCCGTCTGGCACCGCTGCCTGTCCGGGGAGAGAGAGGAGAACAGAACAGCAGCACGTACGCAAGGATGGTCCAAAGTCTTTTGAGATACAAATCAAAAAACCTGTGCTGTTGGCGGCTGTGCAGGAAGGGAAAGGATGGGCGCAGCACAACAGAGCTGCCGTCGGCTCCCTGCGTGTCCTCAGCGGTTTGTGTTGGT